ACGCATTTGCAAATCGATTTCGTTTTCACACGAGACTTAACTGAATCTCTCGTTTATGATATTCTAGAATTGAATGTGCTGCACACAGGTCGCCTCATGATTCAGTTGGCATGATATACGAGATATCGCAGTATATTTTCACAAAGGAAACTACTCACTAGGTTGCTGAAAACTCTTCGACAGCTCATGACCGACCATAAACGAGAGATTCAGTTGAGTCTCCCGTGAAAACCATATCGATTTGTAAATGAGTGTATTTCTCGAAAACAGTCCAATTTGGGTCCAAGTAGAACATAAGGAGGTTGACGGAAACTCGGGAAGTGCGCCTACCTGATGAGCCCCAAGAAGGGCGAAACCGGTCGTGGGCTGTCGAAGAGTTTTCAGCAACCTTGTGAGTAGTTTCCTTTATGAAAAGTGACGTTTCCTTCAAGGTTGGATTGCATATCGTCATCCGATGAAGGCCATTAATTCATATACAGGCAGTGTTGGGGCTTCCGTTACAGTTCACCGCAACACTGCGTGGATAAGCAGTTGGACTTCTCAGAAAGAGGTGCCCGTTCCAGTAGNCTCAGTACAGGCTGGAGTTCCCTGAAGTTATTGCCCAGCAGGACGACACCATCAGCGTATTCTAAGTAAAAATCGTTCAGATCTAGCACCCTATCGATACCTAACTACCATGTCACCCGAAGGCTGCACGAGGGCTGAGATACTGCAAGGTTGCCCAGGCAGGAGACGTCGAGATGTAGAGGTTGGGTTTGGACCACGGACCTTCTTGTTAGTTAATTCGCGCTCTAACCAGCAAGCCACCTAGCCCACTTGGGTTAAATTTCCACCATTCAGATGCAGCAAGGCAATTATCCTGTATTTTGGAGTTTCCCACCTGCTTCACGTTGAAATTCACTCACATCAAACGCATCGGTCATGAGTAGTCAAGCAATGCCGGTTTCGATGACTCACCGCAGTAGACCAAGCCTCCAGGTAAGCGAACAGCCGCCTCTTTTCGCTCGCCCCTGCAAGACGGGAGTAAGACAAGGCTGTTCGCACAACGGTCTCAGTGAACACGTTTACCCAGACTTTGGCGTATCAGCCTGCCATCATATTTCGGGTCTGGTGGCTTCAGATCTTCCCCCCCCCCTCAGGGTCCAGTTAGAAATTTTATTGTATGAAAATGAAGCACTTCAGGCAATACACAAACCGTTTGACTGATTGAGATGAAGGTTTGGCTGCTTTTGTAAAACTAGGTCTTGTGCGCATTAATGAAAACACAAGCACCCAGGTTCAGGCAGGGAGAAGTTACGAAAGTTTAACCGGACCACAATACCCCAGACAACAGTTTAGGAGTTCTAGTGTTGACCATGAACTGTCACATCTCAAGCTCGCTTCTCGCTAACTGTACATTAACTAATACATTGTGAAGTAAACGCCACACAAGAGACTATCGAACCACGATAAACGAATTTATTCGACTAGACAAACAACTGCAGTGGCACAACTTCGCTTGTTTACTCGGTTGGGTCGTTGTCTCGTAGGCCTACTTTGCCTGCACTCATCGACCAGCTAATACGTCAATCAGACATGACACGTCTCTTGTGATTGGTCGGTTCAATTGTTGCTGCACATCGTTGATTTTGGCCCGGTGTGTCATGCCGATGTAAGGCTGCCGGACATTCGGCCTTCTCCCTTTCTTACATAATCCGGGTTATAACACCATTTCTACAGAAAACGCAAAGGCGCACGAGGACAATCCGTCTACTACGAAAGAATGGACGAAAACGATGAAAAATTCACCTGATATCGAACGGGTTTAGGGGATAGCTCAGGTCTAAAAAGGTTCGCTATACATCCCACTGAAAACACTTGGACCCTAGTAGAACCCTTCAGTATAACCGAGAAAAATACTCAAAATCCTTTGCCGCAATACGTGCGCGAGGGGAAAAACGTTGCATTTGATTAATTATTTTCACATAAAGAATCCCATTGTGAAGACACATCCCTTATTCTAGTGTCCATTATCTAAGTCCTTTCCAGAAAAATGGCAGTGCTTGTTTACTAGACACACACACACACACCTTCAGATGCGTTGAAAAGACCTGTTAGGAGAAGGACCTCATTTTGAAATGAAGACAAAGAACAAAATGACACTAATTCTTACCCCCAAGTTGTCGCTACTGGGTGGTATATATCATAGACTGTTCCTATGAAAAAAAGACCAGTAACCTCACCCAGAGACTCATGAAACTGACCGAACAAAAGCATATAGATTGCCCTATGGTCCATTAAGCTTAGCGGGGGGTTCCTTTTGTCTGGATACACTCACTGTGTCAAATGAGACAGAAAATACAAACTACATGGCATGACTTCTTCTGGAGGTTCTCTCTTTCTATAACGTAACACCAGAGCTTGGTTGACAAGGAAGGCTCATCAGGCCTGTCAATGGAAGTGGCTTATCTCCCAGGAGGAGCCTCTTAGAGGGATTGTCGTGCTTCGCGTCTGCTTCAGCAGTACTGAAAATCTTCAGCTCTGCATACCTCAGGAACCAGCGTTGTCTTGGCTAGCATTAGAAGACTAAATTGTTCGTCCAATAGCGGGGCATATCTGACGAATCTCCCGGCGAAATACAACGATAGTATAGTTTAACATAGGAGTGGAGTGAGACAGTTTGGGGGTCGATGGGATGTGCCATGAGTAACGTAGTTACATGCACCGTTTGTGCACTAAATAGATTGAAGTCAAAAAACTTCGCCTGGCTGGCATCCGCGACCCCCATTCGAATGCATGAATCAGATGGAAGGTGCAATTTTTTACTTGCAAAGTTTGTACTCATTTTCTCAAGCGTTTCATCACCGATCTAGTCTGTGTGGGGTTGAGTGACTGACGATGTCACTGACAATGTTACCTCCGTTGGTGATGAAATGTTTGCAATCTAACTGCCAAGCTTGCCGAACAGACCAGCAAACAAGCAGCGCACTCGAGCTATCTATATTCGGCATTGTCACCAAAGCCTATACTCAGCTCGAAAAACTGTCCATAAACTCACTGAACTCCTTAGTCTCACCAACATAAAAGAACAACGACGCATTCAGCCAACTTACTTAGTCAATCACCATACCCCTAGTTAGACAACCGTGCTATGAATTGAATTAGTCAACCTCAACAGATCTTCGTTGTTTGTGCAATGCAAATCCATTTTGTAACAGACGGCTACAGAATCAGATGGGACACTTCTTCCACCAGCAGCATATTTCAGTTTTGTTCTGTTGTTACCTTAGGCTTTGATTTGTCGGTTGTAAAGAAGATATCACAATCCAAACTTTCAAAAGACAGACTCTTCATGATGATGATGATGATGATGATGATGATGATGATGATGATGATGATGATGATGATGATGATGATGATGATGATGATGATGATGAGGAGGAGGCTGACCAACTCAATGACATTTCAGTTGTGTAGCTGTTAGTTCTGCTTTTTAATTCGTGAATAACCAGCTACGTCTATACCTTAAAAACGCTTCACTGGACGTTACTCAACTCAGCTGAAGCTGCTATATATAAATACCGAAAAGTTCAGTGTAGTGTCGGAAATAATAGAGGCACAGTACTTTGTTGATATTGTTGTTTTCTGCAATCGCAGCTTACATTTTCGGGTCACTCAGTAACCACAGAATGCTGAGCTTTGTTGCCTGGATTCCTCTGAATAGAAGGCTCATGTTGCTGCGATGTCTTCAAATAGCGTTCCAAACAGCATTCAGTCTGGACTGCCGACTAGATAGTCAGTCAGCACACATGACTATGACGTGGAAGTTAATCCAGACTCTGAGGAATTATGCTCGACTACAGGGAGTATGACAGTTCACGATATGTCCTGTCCAGATGCGACTAAATCACAATACAGTCAGTCTCTCCTGGTCATACGGTCGAGCCTTGAAACACTAGCCCGGAGGTTGTGAGTTCGAATCTCCCCGGAGGTTTGTGAGATACGCACTGCAAATTATTCGGCCTAGGTTGGCTCCATTTACAGGACAAAATGTGGGGTAGCATTGACCAATAATAACAATAATGAGTATTAACTAACATTAATCGTTCAGCCGTAGCACCCTAGTTGCCAAGTCACTTGAATCACGAATGATGACCAAACTCTTGCCGGTTTGCCCATGCCTAGACAGAAGCAGTCGCGACGCCGGAGTGGGGTTTGAACCACGGACTTTCCGGTCAGTAAGTTTGCACCTTAACCACTGAACTGGCCCATGTGGCAAATCTGGTATATCAACTGATCTATACCTAAGTTCCTTGTGCAATAGATAGATGCAGTTGTAGGTGACCAGTCAAACAGCTTAGAAGAGTGAAGCAGCGAATGACAAAGGAATAGTGGACCCATTCCAACACCGCGAAAAAGGCATATAATGCCTGATTTGACAACTGGGCGTCTACATAAGTGATTATTTTGGCTTCAGATAGCATTTTGTATCCGTTTTCATTTTCAGCTAGGCTACAGTAAAGAGATACTTCCTTCATACACAGATATATGTATCAGACCTATTCAATTTTCGCAGTTGGTTTCTCCTATATACAATTTCAAGTTGATCGCAATTTCCTGTGGGAGTTAAGCATGTATCCCGTCAGTTCCTTCATTCACTGATGACAGTCTGCGACCCTTTCAAGTCGGGGTCGAAGGCTTCCCCGTAACGAGGTAATGTGGTTGACTGACTCTAATTGGAATAACTGATCACCCAGTTATGTTCCACTTCGAAATGTCTGAAATATCATTTGTGCACAAGTTACAAGGTAAAGCGGCTAAGATCCGTTAATTTTTGAATAGCGTGCCTATCACCAAACAGGTGCGTAATTCGGAACGTGCTCACTGAAGACATTTTTTGTTGGTTTCAACTGGTTTCAACTGTAAGCAATTTGTTATATTGATTGTGTCCTTTTCTACAATCAGCCGGGAAAGAAACAATACCTAAAACCCTCACTCTGACGTCTTTCTGTTCAACTTACTTTGTGAGAGTTTCTAGCGAAGAAGTGTACAATGTTCCTCCCACGTCCACGTGCACGGGTGCTGTGTAGCGTGTAGGAGTAGCTGGTTGTGGAACGCCAAGACTAGTCCAGAGTCGAGGAGATCTTTCTAAGCCTTGAGCTGCCTTCGTTCCGCTAGCCAGCTGCGTCTCTTTCCCAGGGTTTTGGTCCGGTATGCTTGACCAGTGACCATGGGCTTTGTTTTCCGTTGAAACCTTCGGCGCATGAGATGGGCTAATGGGTGTCTTCATTCCCGTTATCGCAGCTTCAATAGTCAAATGTGACGTTGAGGCCTTTCGGATTCTATTAACTTGCGGATACTCATCACTTGTTGGGTGCTGCCTGCTTTCCGCACAGCCAAACTGAGTTTGACACTTCGAATCCTGATTTTGATTTGATACTGTCGAACCATGGAACTTTTGTGAATCATCTTTATATGATATTGATAGGGTGTCGCTATGCTCCGGCGCATTTGACTCAGTGCTTTCCAAGCGCGATTTCTCCGATAAAATATAGAGCTGCGAAAGACACTGGGCGAACTCAGTCAGTGCATCTGAGGGTGATTTTCCACTTTCGCCGAATTCAGTAGTATGCGTGGTTTCAGGAAATGAGGTAAGACAAGTGCCAAGCAAAAGCGGATCGAAGAGTTTTGGGAGAAAGTGGCTGAGAGTTGGGGAACCGAGAAGAGGATACATGTGCAAAAGTGAGTGGGAAGCTGTGGCTGAGGGGACTGGTTGTTGTTCACTTGTGGGGTAGATCTGCTGGCTGGAGTTAGATGAGAAAGTATCCATATTGTCGCCCATGTCATCCGTCATTGATGTTGTAAATAGCTGCAAAGGTAAGAAATTCTGTGAAGTTGCAATATCCAACGGAAGCGCTGTGAATGCAGCTTAGCCGGATTTAGGGTTGAAAGATGACCAGTACACAGTACATAATATGGAGGGAGAAGGTAATACAAGGTTATTCCACCAACTTAACTAGGCTTAACCTATACGCTCATTTGCAAATCAATTTGGTTTTCACGAGATACTCAACTGCGTCTTTCGTTTATGATGTTCTACAAATGAATGTGCTGCACACAGGCCGCCTCATGTTTCAGTTGGCACGATATTCGAGATATCGCAGTATATTTTCATAAAGGAAACTACTCTCTGCTGCGGAAAACTCTTCGACGGCCCACGACCGGTTTCGCCCTTCTTGGGACTCATCAGGTAGGTGCAGTCCCCGAGTTCCCGTCAACCCTATGTTCCGCTTGAACCCAAATTGGACTATTTTTGAGGAATACACTCATTCGCAAGTCAATTTGCATTAGCGCTCAACCTGACACTTGAATACCCAGAGTTTCACTATGCAAACGAATTCATAGAGTTTTTTCTGTTTGGATCATTTTTCGGGCTTTAGAAGATCTCTCGAGACTTTTTGTTGCCGTGGTAACTAACTTAAATGACCCAGATTTCAAGCGCACTTCCCTATAAATAGCCCAGCTGCTACCTCTCTGCTTAAATTTTGAACTTGCCTGTAGCTCGTCCGAGCTCCAGCAACCAATAGTGACCAGAAGAATGTCGTTTTCAGTCCACCGTTTTCGTTCTTTTTAGTGCACCAAATGTTTGATATCAGAGTCTGCTCTTTTTTCAAAATTCATTCTGGTCAACAAGGCTTAGTTACTTCCCTTACCCCATCTGCTCTTTTAAAATTATCAGTTTTCATTTGAGATTTCCTTCTGTAAGTAAAGCCGACCTATGCTGACAAACCGGGAAGCACAAGTATACCTGTCTCATCCTTATTGCGAATCACCATCGGCAGTACGCATCTCACAATTCTGCAGAGTCTCGATCCCGGCTAGTAGTTTGAACACTAAGCAGTTCGGCCACGAGCGACTGAGCAGCAGAGTGTGTAGCAGGAATCAAGCCGTACTTCCTCATAGGAGCCCATCTCTGAATATCTGTCACTCTACGATATCTGGCGTCTTGCCCATACTAGTCGCGTCAGTGCCCAACTCTACTCGTTACACCGCGCTGACTCATATGGTGTTTCGTTTGGGTAACGCTTGTTGATCGCACGATGACGCTTTCTGCTCGAGCCTTCTGGAGAGCTCAGCAGCCCATCAGAACTTAAAACAGTGATGAGCCACGAATTTCCCTAGTTCCAATTTGGTGAGCGCTCATAAGAAGAACATCAGAAGGATATATTACAGTCATTGTGGCCCATCAGGTTTACTCCCTCTCTTTTATGCTCACTTCTGCCAAAATCGCATCGTGTGCACTTTTGGATCCAGTTGGCGAGCAACAGTTTGTTCAATAAACGTACGTGTTTTGTTTTAGCACGTACTTTTCACCTCCAAAGTGCAGCATCAGATAACAGGGATTATAACCCCCCTCGTACTCGAAGTGAAATAGGGTTCGAAGAACGTGGACTCGTGGATCATTTTGCGCGTCGGGCTGATTGCATCATTAGCAAAAGTAACACGACAGTCATTGAGTAGTTTGTGAAGACCAGAGCTGCTTTTGTGGATGCATCCTTTGCAGTGCCGAAGGTGACTTTCCAACAAATCTATTTCTCATATACATGGACCTACTCTACGTAAACAATACCTGACTTCCTCCTGACGACATGAATCTTCAAAATAAGTTTGGCAGGAGCAAAGTTACAAAGATTCAATACTCATTCATGTATGGAGAATGGGCCAGCTTAGGCAAAACAATAAACTGACCCGGCTGAGTTGGAACTATTCTGGCTCCAACCTTGTGTTCTTGTATACTGTCCTTCAAAGAGGATACCGGTTTCTACTCCTAGGACGACAGCTGGTGAAGACGAGGACATTCCAAAAAGTGGAAACATGAAATTTAAGCGACCACTGTCGAACTGAACACTGTGAGACCCATGTACTTTCTTGGTTGTGCAACACACCGTCTTCCATACAAGTGTCCGAAATAAGCTTGAAGATGTCACCGGTTCCGGTGGATTGTCACAAGTCAACCTGACTGCCAAAGGAAAGTTGATGGTCGTTGTGAGCCGAACATCATAACTAACTCCTTCATAATCATCGTCATGAATTGTGCGTGACAGCTAAAACAGAACCGCAGGGAACACCACTTCTGAACACCGAAGGCTCAGTTCCATCTTGGCTCAACACGACGTGCGGAAATGCTTATGTGGCTTTTGTTCAGGCATGCAGTTGCACTGTCCCCCACAATTTTCGCAAGGAATTTCTGGATTTTAGGAAACAAACTTCACTATGTTCCTCCTCTCTCGTTGTCCAGTGCGTTGCTACCCATTTATTGTATCGTTTTCTAGTATTGGTGTATCAGTACCAACGATGACAAGATGTTATATTCTTGATAAAAGTGCCACCCAACGACTCGTCTTCAAACACCAGAAGTTGTATCACCTTTCTTTAAGAGGATGATGACAGTCATTGCTCCATGTGTCGAGTCTGTCGTGAACTAACAGCACTGGTCTCCATTTTCCGGATGCTAAAACTATGGGACAGACATTTATTAGCGCATTCACGAATCTACCATTGGCGACAGATTTTCTCCTGGAAACATCACAAACGAGAGATTCAGTTGGGTTCCAAGTGAGTCTCTCGCAAAACCAAATTTGTTTGCAAATGAGTGTATTTCGCTAATTTCGTTCAATTTGGTTTCAAGTAGAACAAAAGTTGACGAAAATTCGGGAACTGCGCCAACCCCGAGAATGGTGAAACCGGTCGTTGGCTGTCAAAGAATTTTCAGCAAACTTATGAGTAAGGCATCACGTCTGTATATGTGTCGCGATATCTCAAATATCGTAGCAACTGAAATATGAGGCGACCTGGTGCAGCACATTCAGTTACCTGAAAACATCACAAACGAGAGATTTAGCTGGGTTCTAGGTGAGTCTCTGGCAAGACCAAATTTGTTTGCAAATGAATGCATTTTGTCAAATTTTCTTCTTGTTCATCCACAGTTACGTAAAAGGTGATACTCCAGGTACGAATTAGACACAGCTGATCGGGCATACTTCTACATGGTGTGAGTCATGACCACCCATGACGGTAATCTTCCGCATCATTAATGAAGGTGCAAAGATTAAATCCGTATTAGTTGTTGTGGGCTTGTAGCTCAAACTGGATCAAACTCCTCCTAACCACACACAGAAAGCAGACTGGCATTATTGATGAACGCTCGGGACTAGAACTTCCTGGCAGGTGAAATCAATTATCAAATTATATCCAAATATCCACATGTAACACTGCTGTCTGCAACAAGAAATCCCACTTGATGTAAACATCATTTTGGCCTCGTAAACAAATAAAAACTGCAAAAGCTGAATGTAAGTGTGTCCATTCTCACAAGGCGGAAAAACACTTGTGAACAGTGACAGGCTAATTGATCTGGAGGTCCCGATTTCAAGTGGAACCGAACGACTCTGAATTCATGTTTGTGAAAGCCTAAAAACAGTACGGTGCGCTTTCCAACCAAAGGAACAAAGCACGAGGGATTTACTGTGATTTGTGCGAAAGTTGACAGGTGAGCGGTCCCCACGAGGCTGGGTACACTTCCCTTCGAACAGGCGAAATAGATAAAATGACAAAATCGCTTGCTTCCGTCGGTAGCGACAGACAAAAGCCAACCAGGTTATTAAATGCACAATTAGTGCAAGCTGCACGTGGAATTCAAAGACGAATTCAAATTTAATAGACAGGCTTACTGATGAAGGATAGTCCATGGTTCCAATTGGGTACATGGCCTAAATGCCATTGTCAGTCACAAGCTCACCACTGATGTGTAAACCGTCTTAGCAACACGCAAACCGAAACTGTTGCCCCCCCCCCCGTAAACTGAAATCTGATTTTCAGGTCGTATTTGCTTGGACCATAAATGATCCCTTGTTCATGATGTTCCTTCACTTCATTTTCTATGCAAACAAAAGCTGTCTGAGAATTCACTTGAAACAACGTTCAAGCCATCAATGTGTTATTAATTGTAATCAGAAAGGTGGAATTACTCAACGTTCACCCGGATTCCACCATCGGCTTCGTCCTGTTTTTGGTACTTTATGTTTCATTTGTGGGTGGTTGCAGGATTTGTAGAATGCAAGCTCACATCACTCTCGTTTGAACACTCATTCTCCTGTCCTGACTCAGTCATTCTCGTGAGTCCACACCGAAAGAAACACTAGACTCAGGTTTTGCTCTTATTAGAGCTCTTGGCCATGCTGGGGTTTGAATCTCGCGAGTGTTTCTGGAGTTCGGTCATCCTTGTGATAATGTGCAACTCCAGTTCCTTCACCCATAGCTCATCTATTTACATTTCAGATTGACACGCGTTCAGCTAAAGGATCTCACAGGATCTACTTGAATGAACTTCCAGCTTATTTCATTTCGGTTTACAGGTGTACAGGTTGCTTTAAAGTCATATAAAAAGATCAAGCGCAACCTGGGAATTACCTAAGGAACGTAGCAGTGGACTGTCGGCTGAATTCGATCAGCCACACGCACGAGGGAACTATCTTCATGCTTTGCTAAATTAGTCTGCTGAGCTTAAAACGTGATACAATCTAGCTGGGATTAGTAGTGATAACATACTTTCTTCTGAATGACTGATTTGCTAATCAAGGTTCCATTTAACGCACAGTCATCTTTCCGTACCCACTTACAAAGCATTCACCTTAGTTCCATGCTTCGTTAAATTAGTCTGCTGAGGTTAAAACGTGATACAATCTAGCTAGAATTAGTAGTGATAACACATTTTCTTCTGAATGACTAATTTGCTAATCAAGGTCCCATTTGACGCACAGTCATCTTTCTGTACCCACTTACAAAGCATTCACC